ACTAAGCAAATAATTGGGCATATTAGAAATTGGATGTTACAAATTTGGATCTTGGAGATGAAGAGGGACGAGGACACACCAGGGAGATATGGATGATGCTCACTACTACAACCTTACAAGCTATAGGCATAAAGAAAACCATGAAGCAAATCTCCGTATAAATATGATTTTTTTTAACAAAACAACAACAACATGGGAAATAGTAATTTCACTTTAAATAATTATCAGACTGACCAAAGTACTTGTTGTTTCGACCGACATCCCAAGATCTATCCTCCACAGAAGGAGCCCATCCACGTCCAGTTGTCACTCATAGAATAACGCATTTGAGGAATTGAATTGGTTGCTACAAATAGAAAACCATCATGTCAAATGGGAGTTCAGTTTTTGAAACTCATTTAAGAACATCCATAGATCTGTCTAGGTGCTCTTTTTGTTTGAAAACTAATTGAGCTAACCTCCACATTAATCTAAAACTCATGATCTCTATGGATTGCCACATAATGTTATGAATTTAGCAGTGTTAATCTCAAAAATGTCTGAGAAGGTGCATATGAGAACAAGCATGTGTGATGAATGATGTGAAAAAATAAATTGTCAATGGTACATTGAGACAAAAAATTGCATCAGCACAATCTACCTAGGAACCGAAAAATCTATGTTTTAAGTTATTGGTTTGTGATTGTATAATCTTTTGAATGTCTCTTTACTTTTCTAGTCTTCTTCCTCATGTTCCTCATCAACACCTTACCCAACTTCCTAAGCACTTTTCTTTAGACATGCTAACATGAGGTACACTTGTCTCTTGTAAAAAAAATCCAACTATAAACAAGAGAAATGAATGACAAATTAATGGTAAATTAGTCATATTCACTTATTCTTTGGAAACTTTGTCTCAGGGCAAAGACGGCATTAAGTTTTCCCTTCAGATCAGGTACCTTACAAGGAAAAACATAGCATTTTTTAGAACAAAAAGTAGTCCCTTGCATCATAATCAATATTAAACAAGCAAAATCAATTGCTGAATGAACAAGTTCTACCTGGATAGAGGCCCTCGTTGCCCTTGTTTTACAGTTGGGAATCCACTTTTCTCCCCCAAATACTAAAGACAACATTAACCTAAGAAAAATTCAAACCATCTCAAATGTTTTCCCACATGAATTCATAAAAATCTTATGAATTTAGTGCCGCAAAACACCTTATTCGAACAAATCAAGAGCAAATAGAGTTGAAGCACGTAAAGTAAGGAACAAATCTATGAAATTACCTCCAATCATATCTCGGTTCATGAGCAAATCCATGACAGAGATGACCAAGAACGGAAGATGGAGAGATTGAAATTTGAAATTCGGATATGGAGAATAGATAAAAATGATATTTACATGCCACTGAAATAGAAAAGGCATTGGTTGGATAAAATCGAACAAATAGATAAGCACTTCATGCATAAAAGATGATAATTAAGAGATTTTTCAAATTTATGTTTAAAAAAGTAGTACTTACTGCAGTAATTAAGACTTTTGTCTAAGAGGGTGTTTGAGATTGCTTATTTGAAACAACTTATGTTTTTCTAGAAAAGTTCTTATTATAAGTTAGAATGATTTAACTTTTTCAAAAACTCTTTATATACCAGTTTGACACCGGTATAAGTTGTTTATCCAAACAATCAAAAGTGTTTATTATCGGTGTCACACTATAATAAGTCAATAAGTTGTTTCTATATGCAATTTCAAACACCCCCCCTTAAATATGCTATAAGAAAACTAGAAAAGTATTCGCGCAATGTAACAAGATACATTTTGATTTTAATGTTCCGTTTTGTCTCAGTCGATGTTATAATACGGTTTTATATGGTTTTGTGAAAACGATAATGTTTTTATTTTTGAATAAAATATAAATATGAAAATATCATAAAATTTTGAAAAAATATATTGATATTAGTATCAAATGAACAATTAATATTTTTTTGTGTAATTTCTTTAATTCATTTTTTTTATTTTCGGTTTAATAATATAATTTTTTATAAAGATAACAATTAGTATTTTGTTAGAACTCAATGATTATCCTAATTATATTTTATATTTTTTATATTTAAAATAAGATGTTTATCCTCTATTTGATTATGTTTATCTGTAGTTAGTTACACGAATTCAAACATGGAGCTTTAAATAAAATGCATCAATAAAAATAATTAATGCATAAAAAATGGTTTTTTAAGAGTTTTTGTCAAATACTTTATAATATAACTAGAAAGGTACTCGCGCAATGCAGCGAGATACAACTTGATTTWAATATTTTATTTTATTTTTTATCTCAGTCGATGTTATAATATGGTCTTATGTGATTTTGAAAAAAAGATGATTTTTATTTTTTAATAAAATATAAATTTGAAGATTATCATAAAAATTTGACAAAAATATATCGATATTAGTATCAAATTAACTATTTAAAATTCCTCATCTTTTTGTGTAATTTTTAATTTAATTTTTTTATTATAATTTAATTTAAATTCAATAACGAAGTAATTTATATTTGGTTTAATAATATAATTTTATTACAAAGATAATAATTAATTATTTTGTTAGAAATCGATAATTATTCTAATATATTTTGGACTTTTTATATTTTAAAATGAGATGTTTATCCTCTATTTGGTTATGTTTATCCACAGTTAATTACACGAATTCAAACATGGAGCTTTAATAAGTTGTATTTGTGAATAAGTTACTTGTAATCTTAAATTTTAAGTAATATGCATCAATATACAATACTTCATACATAAAAAATAATTTTTAAAAGTTCTTGTCAAATATTTTATAGATACTAGTCACAGAGGAGCGGGAAGATATTGACAACGATGCAAAACCATTTGCAAGGAAGACCAAGGATATTGGCCGCCAAGGATTGAGGGAAGGGGCAAGTCTTGCAGAAGTGGTGTGTTTAAATATCTCAATCCTTATCCAACTATGTCTACTGCTTATTATACAACCATTGGAACATTCGGGTACAGTTTATTTATCAAATGTCGGCTATTATTTGCTTATCAGGTTCGGGAAGTAAAGCCAGATGTACTCCTTGGATTATCTGCTGTTGGGGGTTTGTTTTCTAAGGAGGTATAGATACATTGATTTTGTGCTCTTTTTCATCGAAAAGAACCAAGTGGAAGACAATTTTTTCTRTAGAATTTCGTGTTAATYAACTTWGCTCACTGYTGAACTAAATTGCTTCACCTATGCATAGGTATTAGAAGCACTTAGAGGGTCAACTTCAACAAGACCAGCAATATTTGCAATGTCAAATCCCACAACCTACTCGAGATTTATGCTAAACATGTGATCAAACAGGAACAACAACTATAAAATAGCAAATACGGCAACCTAATCGATGTTTATGCTAACTATAACAACAAATACAGTTAAGACAGATACAGTTGCATTTGGTAAAACAACTTCTGRACACAACCATATTTCTAAGTGACATTTGAGAAGTTGAAAATCTTTGTTTACAGACAATTAAATACAAACCTGCACACATCTCCAAACTATATATTTAAATGACTTAACTCGGTTTACCTTTAACTTTTTTGAAACTCAAATTGCCAAATACCCAACTGTCAAAATTTATATCTTGGATAACAAATGCAAAGCAGTGCAAACAGAAGGTACAGGGACAGTCATGTAGAAGCAGTGCAAACAGAAGGTACAGGGACAGTCATGTAGAAGCAGTGCAAACAGAAGGTCATATAGTTGTAAGTAGTGTAAAGAGAAATATGGACTTAAATATGAACCTGTAAACTGCAATCTTTTACGGTCGCTGCGATTACGAACGAAAAAAACAAAGAGATTGTGAAGAACATGTCATATATATATATATATATATATATATATATATATATATATGCATCTCAGTCAAATGGAAAAATCTCTCGAGTACCGAAATAAAAACAAAGAGATTGTGAAGCCACAAGATATAATTTCGAAAAAAAATGAGTTAAAAACGATCGACACAAATTAGATCTCACCTTCAGCAACTTTGCTTATACGTTTTTGATCTCCACACTCGACACAGACGTATGGCTTATTAACAGCCGATGTACCGAAACACACTAAGCAACCTGAAAACAGACCAAAGAGCAATTAGCCTGACGATATANACTCGACACAGACGTATGGCTTATTAACAGCCGATGTACCGAAACACACTAAGCAACCTGAAAACAGACCAAAGAGCAATTAGCCTGACGATATATGGGTGAGGGTTACGAGCAGAGCTTTGTGTAGATGTAGATCAATTGGATTAGGGTTACGATAAAAATGGGATTGGGAATCAAACGAGTTCATCGATTGGGATTAGGGTTGCGATTAGATCAAATCCTGAGCCGATTTCATCGAATTGGATTAGGGTTGCGAAAAAAATGGGCGATTTCAGGGTTGTGATACGCGGGATTGGGTTGGGATTCAAACGATTTCATTGATTGGGATGGATTATGGTAGCGTAAGAATGGGATTAGGAATTAGGGGCGAAAAAATGGGCGATTTCAGGGTTGCGATATGCGGGATTGGGTTTAGGAAGGGGGTGGTTAGATAGTATGCTTTAGTAGGTTGTACTTAAAGCAACAGAAGTTGTTTTTAAGAGTTTAAGAGTTTGAGCCAAATACATTATAAGATAGTATAGATAAAAGTATAGATAATGGTGGGTTAGAGTAGAACTTGATTATAGAGATTATTCATTACACGGACGAGATTAAATTATGAGTATTATTTTATATAATCTTTTTAAAAAATATATTAATATTATAAAATATTTTAATAATAAAATTATTTTGTGTATGAGGGGATTTAGAGGAAACATGGACAAAAGTTGATAGAATGTGTATGTATATATTTTTGGGGCGACAGAGAAAACAAAGAGCCCGCCAATACGTACAAATAACCGCCCTCACTCTAAAATCGTCTAAACCCCCCACCGTGATCGCCGTCGCACCGTCACCGTCATGGGAAAGCAGAAACAACAAATCATTTCCCGTTTCTTCGCTCCCAAACCCAAGCCCTCTTCGCCTCCATCGTCACCGCCGCCGTCGCAATCATCTCTCCCGAATCTATCAACTCCTCCACCGAAAATCTCTGCCACCGTCACCTTCTCCCCTCTCAAGCGCCTCCGTACCTCCCAACTCTTATCGCCGGTCAATAAACCTCCCAAAACCCCCCTGTTATCGTCCAATTCCGACCTTCCGGAATCTTCTCGAACCAAACTATCTCCGCACACTCAAAACCCTATACCCCATTTATCCAATCCTACTCTTCACGAAAAGTTTCTAAACAAACTTCTAGAACCTTCTCATGAAGATAGACGGAATGTTTCCACTTCAAATACTATAGTTTCTGTAAATCCTAAATACACTCCATTAGAGCAGCAGGTAGTGGAGCTTAAAGCCAAGTACAAAGACGTTCTTTTAATGGTTGAAGTTGGTTACAAGTTCCGTTTCTTTGGTCAAGATGCTGAGAATGCTGCTAGGGTTTTGGGAATTTTTGCACATATGGATCACAATTTCTTGACAGCTAGTATACCCACTTTCCGATTGAACTTCCATGTGAGGAGGCTGGTAAGTGCAGGGTACAAGGTGGGTGTTGTTAAACAGACCGAGACCGCAACCATTAAGGCTCACGGTTCTAATAAATTGGGTCCATTTTGCCGTGGCTTATCAGCATTGTACACAAAGGCTACCTTGGAAGCGTCTGAGGATGTGGGTGAGGGAGATGAAGGGTGTGGATCATGTAATAGTTATTTGGTTTGTGTTGTTGAAAAGAAGATTGATGTTGCGAAAGGTAGTGGAAGTGGGAATGATGTGAAAATTGGGATTGTGGCTGTTGAAATTTCAACAGGAGATGTTATTTATGGAGAGTTTGATGATAACTTATTAAGAACTGGGATTGAGGCTAAGATACTGAGCTTATCTCCTGCTGAATTGCTTATTGGTGATCCCTTATCTAAGCTAACAGAGAAGGTAGTTTTAACTCGAAAAGTCTTATACGAATAGGGGCTAATTGTTTTGCGATGTATTTGATTCACAATGTGAAACTTTTTAAAGCCTATTTTTTGTTGTATGTTTCCATGAAACAGTAAATCTTATTTGATTATGTCCATATTTTAGTAAATTTGTTTGGTAATTGTTTCTGCTTATTTGTTATTATTTTATTAACGAAGTTGTTTCTGTTGGCAAATTGAAAATCATGGTTGTGATTGGAAGGCTGATAGACACTGTATTTCATGTGTAGTTTTTACTAGCATATGCTGGACCTGCCTCAAATGTCCGTGTGGAGCGTGTCTCCCGAGATCGATATGCAGATGGTGGTGCCCTTGCTGAAGTATTGACTTCCTATGATAGAATGGGAGATAGCCATTTAAATGATAATCCTCAAAGAGAGTATGTGGAGTTAGAGGAAAAAACAAAAAGGCACTTGGCAATTAAGGTGCTATTCTAGTTTTTATCTCTCTTTATGAAGTAAATGCTAACTATGTATTCTTTCTTTTGAACTATTAAAGATATAAATGAAAAATAATAAGATGGCAAATAGAAAAAAAAATGGAAAATCATCGAGAATGTGTACTTGTTCAATGAATAGCTATTTTTGTACTTGCTTTTTTCTGGTTATGCTGCTTTTAGAATGTTGTTAAATTTACCCTTTTTGTGTTTTGAATCATATAGGCGATCATGGCTATGCCTGATTTGGCTGTTCAGGCATTAGCCTTGACCATTGATCATTTGAAGCAATTTGGTTTTGAAAGAATTCTGTGCTTGGGAGCTTCATTTCGGCCTTTCTCTAACAATGTGGAGATGACCCTTTCAGCCAATGCTATACAACAATTAGAGGTATGTCATAATATCATACATGCAATGCCTTGAAGATATATACAACTAAATAACTATTGTAGAAGAGTTTCCCTTTGACATTATTGCTTCATTTCTGTTGGGAATATAATACACATGTGAATGGCCTAACAGGTTAACCACATATAGGTTTTGAAGAACAACTCCGATGGATCTGAGTCTGGCTCATTACTAGAGCGTATGAATCACACTCTTACAATATCTGGTTCAAGGCTTCTCAGGCACTGGGTACACTCTTATCTCTCTTAGCATTTTCTTGATTGTTTTTGGCGAGTGTCTGCTTGTGATCTTTTTTATGGGCCGGGGGTGGAAGGGGTTCTGTGTCTGTGGAATCCACTATTTGCTAATCGGGTCTCACCTAATGATTCAGGTGAGTCATCCTTTACGTGACAGAAACATGATCAATGCTCGTCTTGATGCCATTTCTGAGATTCTTGAATCAATGGGTTCTCATAATACTTGTAGTGATCGGGGATATGAAAGAACGAAGCTTCATCAATTGCTAACTTCAGTTCTGACTAATTTAGGAAGGTCGCCTGATATCCAACGTGGAATTACAAGAATTTTCCATCGGACTGCCACAGCGTTGGAGGTAATGAATATATTGTCATTGTGTAAGCAAACAACTGGAAATCTTGTATCTAATCTAGTGTTTTATGATGGTTTCTCTCAACTGGGAATTACAGTTCATAGCGGTCATTGAAGCCATCTTACTGTCAGGGAAACAGCTTCGGCAGCTTCAAGTGGAAGAAGAGGATGAAGGTGACCGCTTGCAAGCAAACTCCATCCACTCTCCGTTGCTGAGAAAGTTGATTTTAACTGCATCTTCATCCAACATAATTTCTAGGACATCAAGGCTACTTGCTGCCTTGAATAAGGAAGCTGCTGAGCAGCGTGATATTCCCAATCTGTTTGTCGTTTCTGAAGGAGCATTTCAAGAGGTTCCATGACATGAATTATCTTCGAAATATAGGGGAAAATGCAACAAAGTTTGGTATAGTTCCTATTTAGTATAACATTTTTTTTTCACAATCGATGTAACAAAGTTTCAAAATTTCCTATTTTCTACCCACTTTGACCGGTAGCATGCTGATATTGTAGCATTTAATGACGTGGATACCCCTTTATGGAAGGGTCATGGTGAAGTGTACGATAAACTTGGCATCCACGTCATCAAATGTTACATAATCAACAGTTACACATCAAAATGGGTAAGAGAAAATTATGAAACTGCGTTGCATTGAATGAGAAAAATATTTTTTGTTACACTAAATAGGATTAAATGAATTGAGAGTTTGCTGCTTCAGAGCAAATTTCACTGCATTTTTTGATGCATTTTGCTCTTAAATGTAACTTGTGAGTTTTGTCATATCTTGGCTTCATTTAACTATGTGTAATTCTTATACAACCGATGACCAGATTGCTACAGCAAGGAATAAAGTGAAGCAGGCAAAGGAGAAGTTAGATTTATTGATTGGTTTATACCGCAAACAACTGAGAAATCAGAAGTTGGAGTTCACGACCGTTTCTGGGACGACACATTTGATAGAGGTAAATTATATTGGTTTAATGAAATATTTCTGTTTTTGAAGTTTATCTCTTCCTTTAACTTGCAATACTATCAAAATGTTTTTTCGTTTGTTTCATTATGATACATCTGCCTCTTACTAGTTACAGTTTTAACTGCAGTTGCCACAAGACGTAAAAGTGCCTTCGAATTGGGTGAAAGTTAACAGTACTAAAAAGGCAATACGCTATCATGCACCAGAAGTATTGACGGCTTTAGACGACCTATCATTGGCTAATGAGGAGCTCCTTCTTGTCTGCCGCTCCACTTGGCAAAACTTTCTAAATGAATTCGGTGGTTACTATTCTGAGTTGCAAGTGGCTGTTCAAGCACTAGCGGCTTTGGATTGCCTGCATTCTCTTGCTCTTCTGGCAAGAAATAAGGTTTTTAGTGTTTAATTTATTGGGTTCATGAGTTTGATGCTTTAACTAACCTTATTTCTTCTAACTTCACCTCCTCATCTCTCTTAGGATTACATTCGCCCAGTTTTTGTTGATGATAGTGAACCTGTTCAGATTTGTGTATCTTCAGGCCGTCATCCGGTGTGTAACATTCTTTTCTTAAGATGTTAAAGACTGTTTTTGCATAATGCTTACATGATCCACCATAAGCAGGTTATGGAGACTATGCTACAAGATAGTTTTGTTCCAAATGATACTAGTTTGCATGCAGATGGAGAGTATTGTCAAATTGTTACGGGACCAAATATGGGCGGAAAGAGTTGTTATATACGACAAGTGGCTCTCCTTGCCATCATGGCACAGGTATATTGGCAGATACAGGATGATCCTAAACTAAAATAGCTGGCATTTGTCATATTTATTGCCCAAAATATCTAGCTAATCTCTACTGTATGCCAACCTTAGTCTTTCTAGCTTTTACTGTATGCTAGACGTAGTTTTTCTCATGTCCTACGAGTTGCCAATACAATGCTCTGTGTTTGCATACACTCTTCTGCTACTTCTCGCACATGTATCCTGTTAAATTTTTTTTGCAAACGGAGGGTTTTCATGGAAACTGTCCATCTACTCCTTGATGTAGAGGCAAGACTTGCATACTTCCTACCCTTCTCAGACCCTATCTGTGTACGCGATATATTGGGTTCGTTTGGTTTGATTTGTTGTCAGAACTTGAAGTAATGAAGGCAACCAGACGGCCATGGCTTCACTGATTGTATGTTTTTTTATTCTTTTTAGGTTGGTTCCTTTGTACCAGCATCGTCGGCAAAACTGCATGTGTTAGATGGCATATACACAAGAATGGGAGCTTCCGATAGCATCCAACAAGGTAGGAGCACATTTTTAGAAGAACTGGGGGAGGCTTCTCATATACTTGAGAGTTGCACAGGCCAGTCTTTAGTGATCCTTGATGAGCTTGGAAGAGGCACAAGCACACATGATGGAGTTGCAATTGCTTATGCCACATTGCAGTACCTGTTAGAGCAGAAAAGATGCATGGTACTATTTGTGACTCATTACCCAGAGATAGTCAAAATGGCAAAAGGGTTAACTGGATGTATGGGATCGTATCATGTTTCATACCTGACATCGCAGAAAGGCGAGCCTAATGGTGACTATGAAGATGTTGTTTACCTTTATAAGCTTGTACCTGGTGTTTCAGAAAGGAGCTTTGGATTTAAAGTTGCTCAGCTTGCACAGGTCCGTCTTTTTGCCTCTTCGCCTTTTTGGGATAAAGAAATTTTGTGTGTTGCATTATATATCTAAAAATTGGTAATGCATGTTTGTTATGTTACAGTTGCCATTGTCATGTATAAATCGAGCGAGTGTGATGGCAATGAGATTAGAAGACGTAGTGAGGAAAAAGAAAATATTACAAGAATCAGGGAGAAATGATGAAGCTGGAGATATGGAAGGGTACAAAGAGATGTTCTCAAATCTGAATTTAGCAGCATATTCACAAGATATTGATCCTGCCAAAAGCTTCGAGTGTTTAAAGACTGCTAGAAGCCTTGCGCTTGAGTTGATAAATAGGTAAATAGAGGGAGGTTCAAATGAGAAGAGGGTCAAAATAAGATATGACGAGAATGTCCAATCACATGTGATTTTACACTATAATCACACGTGATTATGCTCGACGTCCATAGCGACCTAGGTCGCACCCGCACCCTTGCGTTGACCGTGTTTCGTAATCGCTTGTGATTTTAGTGTAAAATCACATGATTAGGGTCTCTATTGTCGTTTGAAACCTAAGTCTAGGTAAATAACACTCAATCAGATCATATCCAATTTACGAATACGTGTTCATCTTGTGTTTTCTAACAGATCAATGACCGAGTTTATGATGGCGAATTAACGGTAAAGGAAGTAAAATTATAGAAAAATTTCAACTAGTTTTATCTTTGTTATTTTATCAGTAGTGTTCAGCTATGCATGTAAAATAGTAGAATCATATTCAAAACAGTTGATTGAGACATGCCATACATACATGCAGAGGCTTTTAGTGGAGACTGACTACAATCATTCACGGACCGAATGTCATTTGAATGTTCTGTAATTGACGCAGTAAAGTAAACTCATGTATAAATAGGCAAATGATCGTGTGAGGAAAAGAGTTAAAGAAGTGTAAGAAAATATCTGAACCCTTGATTACTCTTAATCTCATGTTCGTCCATGAATTGCGTTCTAGAAGAGAATTTGATTTGGTGCACCTCATTAGTGTTGATATTCAATTAAGATTGATTCAAAAGTGGAGATTTTTTCTTATGCTTCTCATTATAACTTTTCTTCTTACTGGAACTCAACTTTGTATAAATAATGTTCTAAAAGGCACGATGTTGCATAAGACGTGTCTATCATTACGATAAAGCCTACAATGTTTCTTTCTGTATACAATGTTTCTTTCTGTAAGGTGTGGCTCAAGTTGAGCATGCATTTTTTTACGAGGGGTGACTTTTTTGAAAAAATAATATTTTTCTAGTTCTTTTAAATTTATTTACTTTTGTGTTTTACACTTTATAGATTTATTTATTCATATTGTTCATGGTTTCAGCAATTCTTACACATCATAAACTTACAGTTGATCCAAATTCTCTCAAAATTACCCTTCGGAGTCCTATAATGAATATTTAGTTAGAAACAATTTATACAATATTAATATATAAGATTTTTCTTTTTCTAATATGAATATATACATATGTAAATATCATTATCTCATGGAAAAGGCAAGGTGCACCTTGGATTGAACTCGACGAATTGCGTTTTGCCAGATAGATTTTTTTAGAAAGATTCCCCATTGGTAATATTATAGAAAACTTATATATATATGGTGTATAATATTATATATATATATATGTATCTGAATCTTAAGAATAGGACCATACCCTATTCTCGAACCCTCAGCCGAGCTCCACGCTGCCCGCATTTCTTTTTTAGTAAGGGGACAAAGAAATGTCTCCACCTGCTGCCAACAGTCTTTCTCCAGAATTCTACTGAACGGGTCGATCCCCCCCCCCCGTTTGTTTTAGCAACTTATCCTAAGGTCTCCTGGCCAAGAGCTCCCCGGTGATGACAGAGGAAGCAACCCGCCTACTGTGCGGGGCGGTTTTTTTTTTTCACAATAAGACCTGGAAGATTATCCCTACCCTCGGTAGCTTACGAGTTTACGTCCATCCCTAGTTGGGTAAAGTTTTCTTTTTCTTTACACCAGACCCTGCAACTAATGAAAAGGACCTATGGTATGGAGTAAGGGGAAGCGTGTACGTTGTCACACTCCCTGCCTTCCAAAGGTGCCTAGAGGACAGGCCAGATGCAACAGAGCAACGACTCAGGAGCGGATTCCCCACCGGCCGGGGGGGGGAGGAGATGGCCATCTTAAGGCACATCACGACCTACAGGCAACACTGGCGAGACCTAGGAAGGCAACCCGATTGGGAGTCAGATGATTCATAGTACCTACAGCCTCCCGGACTTCATATTCATCAATTTTGAAAGCGGGGGAAAGAGATCTTTTTTCCGCAAAGGAAAAATACGGAGCAGATTTAACGTTAGCGCTTTAGTTTGTTTGATTGCTCGTTAGTTCCGTTTTCAATAAGGGGCGGAGCTTGAAGAAGCGAGCCTAGAGTAGCCACACAGACTATTACGTTTTTCAGGCCCTTTGAGATTCTACTCGTAAAGAGCTAGCGCCGCTATAGAGTCAAGATATTCTGCTATCAATGAAACCGAGAAAAAAACCAGTGCCTTTCATAAGATCGAGACTTATAGCTTGATTCTTTACTCATTCCATACAGGGAAGAATTGAACGTGATAACACGTCTTCCTATTTCTTTCTCAATGATATCCGACGATCAAGACAATTCCCGTGAAAGTCTTTCATAGAAGTGAATTCTTATTCTTACGAAGCAAATTACATTTCCTATTGATTTGTCCCCTGGACCTATTCTGATTCTGAATTATCCGTCGCTACGCTGTTCCCAAGGACTAGCAGAATCGRAATAGCGAAATTCTTGGGTCATCTCAATGGTTTCAAAAACCACACGTTTCTCTGGATCATCATAGCGTACTTCCACATATCCACTCAGAGGAAGGTCTTTTCGTAATGGATGACCCTCGAAACCATAATCTGTTGWTATACGGCGTAGATCTGGATGATTAATGGAAGAAACACCAAACATATCCCAAACTTCATTATCTCATTGAACAATATATAGAAAAATCTTATATATATCCCAATACTAATATATAAGATTTTTCTTTTTCTAATATGAATGTATATACGCAAATATCATTATCTCATTGAACAATATATAGAAAACTTATATGTATATGGTAAATATAATATAATATAATATCTATAGAGGAGCGATAAAATGCAAATCACCCAATTTGTAAACCATCATCATCCATCGATTTCATTGTTTAATCTTATGAAAAAATTTCATGAAATTGTTTAATCTTGTGAAATTATTTCATATAATACTTTTTTTGATGAAGTTGTTTCATATATTGTTATGAAATTGTTTCATATAATACTTAATAATATTTTAATGAAAATTGTTTCATGTATTTCTCTAAAACTAAAATAATGAAGATGATAATATCCATGATTAACACCCTCAACAATAAAAATGATTAATCAACCTCTCATAATTACATTAAAAATGAACAAAATGAAAAATTATGATTGGTTGAATGAGGTTTGTACGGTTTGTACAAATGACGTGGTTTGCAAAATAAACCTCATTTCTCTCTCTCTCTCTCTCTCTCTCTCTCTCTATATATATATATATATAGAGGAGCGTTCAAATAAAAACTTACCCCATTTGTGTAAACCGTGTAAACCAATCTCATCCGTCCATTTTCTTGATCAATGGCTAAGATTAATTTACTTTATTTTAGGAAAWTAAAAAATAAAAAATATTAAAAAATTATTTTATTTCAATGATAAGGGCAAATTGGTAAACAAAAGTTAACATCAATATAACATTAATTCCATAAACAAAAGTTANTTTTCACATTAACATTAATTCCATAAAGAACAAAATATAATATGCACCCGTTTCATCATATATTTATTTCATAAAAGAACACAATACATTACGCACCCGTTTCATTTTAATCCTACCAACTAAACAGATCAACTTCAATCACAAAGCAACATGGATCATCATGAACCTAGATGTACATTCAATCACAAAGCAACAAAGATAACCATGAAACTTCAATCACAAAGCACCTATTTCATTAACACGTATAATATGCATAGACGGAGCAAATAAATCATTTTACAATGAAACCTTTTCACATTGAAACAGTTTCATGACCATTGTTTTTTGAACTTTGTTTATGAAACTATTCATTACAATATTTTCATTAGGAAATAGAGAGATTATATTATTTCGATTTTTCAACTGTTTTGAAATGTTTGATGAAACCGTTGCATCAATAGTTCATTTTTCTTATTCCACTCATATGAACATGATTCATCATTATGAACCTTTTCATTATGAAACAGTTTCATGAAACCTTTTCATTAAAGTGGATAATATGCCTAGAGTATTAATTTGGACAATATGCCTAGAGTATTAATTTGGACAATATGCCTAGAGTATTAGATTATGAACATGCTTCATCATTATGAACTTTTTCATTATGAAATAGTTTCATGAAATTTGCCCCATATGAAACAGTTTCATGAACTTTAGGAATGAAGTTCGCCCCATATGAACGTCCCATATGAAACAGTTTCATTATGAAACAGTTTCATTATGAAACATTTTCATTATGAACGCCCCATATGAAACAGTTTCATTATGAAACAGTTTCATTATGAAACATTTTCATTATGAATGTCCCATTCAAATCAAGTTTTTAATATTATAATATATTTTTTTTAATATGTTACCATTCAAAAAATTTCCATTATTAAATTTCTTTATTTAATATTTATTAATAACTACCTTATTTATCATAAAAATATAGAAAATGACCAAAATACCCTTATTGATTAAATTTAATTAAAAAAGAATAGAATTTTCTTATTGGTCGAATTTGGTTTACACGGTTTCTTAGAATTACATGGATTTCATTTGAACCTTATATATATATATATATATATATATATATATATATATATATATATAAGGTTGGATTCAGGTAAGAAGAAAAGTTATAATAAGAAACATAATAAGAGATTTTCACCCTTGGATCAATCCTAATTGAATGTCAACACTAATGAAGTGCATCATCAATTCTCTTCTAAAACACAATTCATGGGTGGACATGCGATTAAAAGTGATTATGAGTTCGGATCTCTTCTTAGACTTCTCGTTTTTTTAACTCTTTTTCAAACATATAGAATCTTATATATGACACACAAATTTACCACCTTATATCATGCCTTACAAAACACCACGTTCTCGCCGTAGCTTGTAAAATTTAAGGTTTGCTCATGTCGTGACGCCAAGCCTCACACAATTTTTAAAACCCTATGTATAAATCAATAATGGATCCTTGCTTGATTGCAATAATTCATATATGATAAATGCATAAACAAGACTTATCGTAGATTTTAGAGTTTTAATTTTACATTAACAGTTAAAAACATCAGTGAATTGTTATAAAACATTTTTGGTATGATTCTTCTTGTCATATTAATACCAAACTCACCAAATTAACAAACTTCATAAAACCCTATGGAGTGACTTACAAGAACATCTTTTGTGAGCCACATTTACTTGTTTTACATTAATTTTTTCTATATTTTTTTAAAATCAATTAAAAAGCTAATAAAATAACGTTTCAAATAAAAATCAAAATTCTAGTACTAAGAACTCTAGAAAATTTAGGTGTCTTGTAACAATTCTCCATAATAGTAACTACATTTTTCTTATAGAAACCTATCACCGGAGATGCTCTTAGTAATTTACCAAACAAAGTCGAACCATTTTGAATTTTGTTCCATCTATTTTGACATGACAAAAAGAATGCACTTTTATCCCACTCAGTCCCATAAATAATGAAACAGACCTTGTTTTATCCAGCCCCACGCGCTAGGCATCAGCCTCGAATCCAGCACAAGTAAATTATGAAAAATAGCATACAAAAATTCATGAACTGAGACAAGAAAAACAAAATGGATCAAGCACAAGAGTCTTTTCTTATTGAATTGAACATCAACAGTAGCATATTAACTGCGGAAAAATAAGTGAGAAGCATACGATGTTCAAGAAAAGGCAAACCACATTTTGCCTTGATGAAGAAACTCAATACTCTTTCTTCCCAAAATTCTTACACCAGATTTGTGACGGAATTGGGTGAACCGGCATGTGTGGTCGTTGCTGCAGACAGACGCAGAATTAGAGTATGCACATAGAATATAAATTAGAATGCAACTTTTATGAGATCAATGGCATGCTACCATTAAGCTTGAACAATGATTGAATTAGTTAGTTTCTGCTTACATGTAAAGGGAAGGATTTTTAACGCATACCCATTTAATTACTTTTTCATCATTTCTAAGTAATCAAATGCATAAACTTGAATATGCATATCATCCAAGGTCATTTGATGCAATTCAGTGAAGTGATTCAAATCCTTAACTAGAAGATGAAGCATGAAAATGGTGGACTACATATTTTGTTAAGATTCCTATGAATGAAAGTTACAGTACATACTATTAAAAAGAGATTAACAGATTGCAGCATATAAAATAACAGAACCCAAAAAAAGAAGCCAGAGAAAGAAGGAAAAAAATGTCATGAGAAACAAGTCAATTTCAGCATGTGCTGAAGTATGTTATATGATGGAGAAGTATGAAATCCATCATCTTTATAGAAAAGCAGCATAAGATCAACTTAAAGAGGGTGATCTAGATGCATTGAGGCTACTTGGCTCTATAAGGATTAGGAAAACTGTTTAATGATATTTGGGTCATAAAGAAGTAACATTACAAGTTGTTTCAGGACTCATCTGGTACTTGATTGCATTAGAAATTATCATACTAAAATTTTGGATGTACAAATTGGAGAACAATGCAAGTGCCTGATCAATTACACAAACCACAATGGTGCAGACATGGATAAGAAATGACTGGGACAGTCTTACTCCACGCCTAAGATATACAAGGCAGGCCAAATGTAGCTCAATCTTATCCAACACTAATGGTGGACTTGAAGTTGGTGCTTTGAGCTGACCCGTTGAACATTCTATAACCCCCAATCTAACAACCTCGCAGATGGCAAGGATCTTGGAAAGACCTTGGTGCATGGATGGTAGAGTCTTTGAACAGCCAAAGGCTCCTTGATTGCACTGATGTCAGCACATTGCATAAAGACTAAGAACTGAAAGCACCAACTGCACCTACATAGCCGGCTATGGTAACATGACAATAGCACAAACCACTAAAGGTTAGATTATACATACAAATGGTCAACCTAGGGTGAAAGAAATAAACTTTGAAAGAATAGTACTTCCGAAGCTGAATTCTTGCTATTATGGGTTTCCTTTCAGCAGCCATTGTTACAAGTTCAAGCATTCACTAGAAAACTATCCAATCCACTTAACCTTTCAGTTCACACAACCATTGAACTCAACAGCTATTGCTCCACTAACATTAAGCGATATAGAGCATAAAAAGGAGTAGCATGTATAGATACCCTACAGAATCAAATCCTTACGTCTGACAGTATGAGGACAGACATGGACAAAACATTACAATACATTAAAATGACTAATGTTCTAAGAGCACTAAATCGATCATCATAGTCCCGGCAAGATCGGAAAATGCTACCACAGAGGACTGACGGAATAGACATAAAAGAACTGCTGCTGCACACCCCTCCTTCCGGACGACCTCGTTAAACGGTTTAAAATGAACAAAGTTTGATCGATGAACCCAAAAGCTTTAAAACCCGAAATCGATAAGCACGCAAGCGGTGAAGAATAAACAATATGCATACGCCGGAATTGATAGCCATGGGATTTAAAACCCTAAAGTTTTAAATCTAAAACAATCGAAATTCAATGTATGCCCAAATCCAGATCTTCTACTATGTATGTATCCGAATTCTCTCAAAGTGACAAAAAAAACATGGGAGAAAAGAGTGATAGATGATCAGTAAATAAAAACAGACCTCGAGTTCCGCAGATTTCATGGCGATAGGTATGCAGACGAGGAAAATACCAGCCATGGCGATGGCGGTGTTGCGCTTCCAGTGCAAGGGGCGGCAGTTGGGACCACCGCTCATGGTCCAGACCTTGGCCCTGAAATCCCCTCCGCCATGGCCATGGGCGCCGTCGGCGTGACTGCCGTGATGATCTCCTCCTCCAGCCATTTTCTCTCGTCAACTGCTTCAATCGATTTTTTTTGTTTCTGAGGAAGCAAGGAAAATGGTTCAGTAGTTGCCCTATTGGCGAATTTGGAGATAGGCCCGTATTACATTTTTAATCTTGTAAAAATAATTAATATTTTTATAATAAATTATTATTTTCATTATAGTTTTTCTTTTTATAACATTACATAGAAAATAATTATTAAAACTAAAAGTTAGTTGTGCAATATAATGAGATATATTTTGATTTTAATATTTCGTCTTTTATTCTGTCTTTATAGATGTTATAATACGGTTCATGTGATATTAAAAAAAATAATAATATTTTTATTTTAAATAAAATATAAATTTAAAGGTATTATAAAATTTTGACTTAATAACATGACAATACAAATCACATAATGAATTAAAAAATATCATAAATAAAAAACATAAAATAATTACAATTTTGAATTAAATCAAATATTATGTTAACGGTATGATTGTAACAAAATTCTATTTAAATCCCCTAATATTTTCATTATATCTTTTATATTTATTTATCATTTAATTTTAATTAAGTGAAAAATTTTCAATCAAGTTTTCTATGATAATTTTCATTTTGATAAGATTTTTTCATAATTTTCTTCAAATATCACATGTGTTAGTTTTGGAATGTAATGATTTTTATATGATGTATTTGTAGAAGCGGGGTTAAATACAAATACAACATATTTTCATCTTTAATTCTATATTTTGTATTAAAACAAAGAATTAAAGATTTGTAGTGGTAGGAAGGTAAGACTTGTGATCCTAAACAATCTGACTGGTGACAAATTTACTAACACTAGAAAAGTAAGAGAAGAAGGTACTTCTTCATATCTGAAGTAATGAGATAGTTTTTCAGATATTGACGTCGATTTTGCTTAAGAAACTATCACTCATAAGTTCTTTCAAAATTGGTGAGTAACAATGAATGACAAAGGTGACCTTTTATAGTCATGATTGCATTAAATGCTACTATCTAACTTTAATATATGTCTTCATCTAATTTGTTGATAGATACATGTTTGTACTCTTCATTGCAGCCTTTGTGGTTAATGTAGACACTTGTTAACTTATCTCATCCTTTTGTATGCAGAGAGAATAGTAAAGAAAGTATGACACTAATAAAATAGTGTTTTAGAACTTACTTTTGCGGACATGTTGAGTATGTTCACATACCAATATCAGTGTTGGTAAAGTAGGTAAGCCAAACTTGTTGGACAAGTTTGCAGTCCAAAATCCAACTTACCAGTAAAAATATTTGTCAGACTACGATTTGACTTTATCTTATATTGATATTTATTCGGATAGATGACAAACCAATCCGCTTTTGGTGACGATCCTCATTTCAACTTGTCTTCAATTTTGTTGAAGGCTTTTAGTTTTTGGATCAATACAAATAGCTATAAGACATTTAAAAAGTAAAGTCCTATCTTTTCTATTCCAAAATACAGGTTACAGATCAGATTCCAGCTATAGAATACTTATGAAGTAAGAACTAGGGTCGTCCCTTAGCATGTTAAATGTGATATTTTGAACAGGGCCTATGAAATTTTGAGGCCCAAATTTACATGTGATCAGGTCTTTTATTGACCCGTATAAAACTATAGCCGAAATTATTTAGGTTCAAACCATTAATTGTTTAATTTTAGGTTCAAATCATTAATGGTTTAGGTTTAGTTTCAGATTGTTAATCATTTTAGGTTTAGCCTATTTTTGTTCTTAACATATTTTCTCTTTTATCTCATTTATACAATGTAATCAAGAGTTTTGGATGTAACAGAGCCTCCAAAAAGATTGGAACGTCCCTAGTAAGAACATCAGATCCTAAAATAACTTAGAATAAAATGTGGGTTCTTGATAAACAAGATTGAGTGACATGAAGATAGGTCAGTCATATTTTTACAATCAAATGGAGAATAATCAAATCTAGACTTGATCTCACCTTTTATTTAAGCTATGGATCCAATGGAGACTAAAATCCGAAGCTTTGAGCTTTAACAAACTTCTAAGATTCGGATGTTAATCTGTTTGTGTCATATCTGATTAATGTTGTATATCAGATATGACCATTACAACCCAGGTGAAGGAATTTCTTTCTAAATGTTGAATTATATGCTAGTTGTATTATTTACAAATCCGATGATTGAGATTGACAATCTCCCGCTATCTGTTAATAATACAAATAGATAGCCATGAATGAAACACTTTGAAAGAAATGGAATTGAAACTCATAAGCGAAAAATAACATCCAAACTCATAAATTCGGTGACCCATTTTGGATTCTTTTGTTCTTTTCTTTTCCTAAGCTAGGTTCTTTTTTCTGTTCTTCCATTCTTTTCTTTTATTTCAGACTACAAGACAGTATAAAGATAACTTAAATATAACTTTTTATTTTATCCATAAAATAATCAAAATAGAGAGGTGATGGATTATTATTTAAAGAATAAACCAGTTAAGGTTTTCCCTTCGACCTACATCTTCTTCTCAAACCTTTTGGTCATATAATTTATCTCGTTGGCTAAATAATTGACGTACATACTTGGGGATGCTTGGGATTGCTTATTTACAACAACTTATGTTTTTTTTTTGAAGTGTTTATCAACTTATGTAGTGTCAAACCGGAGTTTTTGTAAAAAGTGTTTGGATTATCTTATGGTGGTACCAAAAGGTAATAAGTTGATAAGTTTCTTTTTAGTCTTTGCCGAATTTTGCTTATACATGTAAAAATACCAAGAAGGACATGAGGAAGGAGGAACTGTGTTCGAAGGTCACTTACGTAAGGAAGAACTGTCGATTTCGATTTCTGTATGAACTGATCGAAGGTCGCTTCTTGAGGAAGGAGGAACTGTGTTAGATTTTAACTTTTGTAGGTGAATCCATCTTTCATATTTACTTTTTTCTCTCCTGTTTTTATTTTTAGTTGAAATATTTTCAACACATTAATTATTGAAACAAAAAACTAATTGTTGAAACTTCTTTTTTTTTTTTTTTTTGCATTTTCAGTTATTTTTAAATATTTTCAACACATTAAATTGTTAAAACTTTTCATTTCTTAAATTTAAATAATCAAATATATAAAAATCATTTTATATAATATAAAACATAAATATCTTATTAAAATCATTAATATATTTTTTAACTTATATAAAAAACAACTGACATTTCTCCTTACACACACACACACATATATATATATATATATATATATATATATATAATACACACACATACACACATGATCCAAATCAAATGAGAACCACAAAAAATATTACAAACATGTGAGAATAGATTTGAAAATAGTTTTTACATGATTTTTCTATCAAATGTTAGGATTTAAGATATTGTTTCACATATATTTGTTTAATAATGTAAGACCATCCACACACATCTTTCAAAGCAATTGCAAAAATGCAATTGCATGCCATATAGGATTTCACTTGCAAATTTTGAAAGTGTAAATGCAAGCCACGTGGACATCTATAACATTGAATAACATTGAAATATAATATGTAGAACAATTAATTTTATAAATTAATAATGTTAATGTATTTTTAATTACATTAATTATATAATAAATTAAATTATTTTATATGTAATATTTTTAATTCAATAAATGTTGTGTTTTGATATGATTTAATNGTAATATTTTTAATTCAATAAATGTTGTGTTTTGATATGATTTAATAAATTAATGTTTCAAATTTAAAACAATAAATTATATAATTATTATATTATATCATATATTAGTCGTTTTAATTAACATTTAATTAAAATAAAACATGTTATTAATTAAAATATGTAATATTTAGAATGTATATATAAATAATTTATAAAATAGTTAATAAATGTTGTAGTAGGGACCACTTTTAAAAGCGTAGGTGACATGGCACAGTTGAAAGTGTTGTAGGTAAATTGCAGGTGTGTGGAAGATAATTGCAAAAGCTGATGTGGCACAATTGAAAGTGTAAATGGATTGCAGGGATGTGGATGGTCTAATAGTTTCACATTTATTTGTTTTATCATGTGAATATTCTAAGTTGTATTTTTCGTTTCGCAAAGGATGTCTCCAACCCAACAACTAAAAAACATTAAAAATGATGGATCACTTTAACACTAAAAACAATAACTTCAACCGCACACTAAAAAACAAACTAAAAACATCTTTAACATTAATTATAATAAAATAACATATAAATATATTATTAAACTATTTTATTAAAACATAATAATTACGATATATAATTATTTTTTATAATCAAAAAATAGTTATCACTTGAACTTTAAAAATATTAGTTAATGAAATATCACTAATTAAAATGACAATTTTTAATTAATAAATATTACGTTAAAAGCAAACTAAATTACAGTAATTCAATTATAGAATATAACATGGATCTAAAAGCAAATTAAATATTATGTTTTATTTTAAAAAAATATTTGCTAATGAAATTTCATTTTCTCAAGTGTTTATGATATACAAATGTAATGTTTAAGTTTCATTTTGTTGAATATAAAATTATTTATATTTTAGTTTTTATCAATTTTCATTCTTAATAAAATAAATTAATTAGTTAAATACAATTTACAGACACAAAATAACTAAATTATAAACTTAATAAAAAATATTACTTAATATATTAAACTATTAACCAATATACATATATAATTATAAAATTGAATAAAATATTAATATTTGATTATAAAGGTCTACTTTATTGACCTTCAAATATAGAAACTAATATTTTTACCCCTGTTTCTTTTAGTGTTTTAGTGTTGGTTGGAGATGATATAAGTGAACAACCAGTGGAATATCTCAAACTCAACCACAATTCATCAACACATTAATACTCAATTATCATGATATCACCTCAATACTCTTGGTTCTTCTTTTAATATATATATATATATATATATATGTATGTATGTATGTATGTATATATATAATAAGATTGGTTTTGAAAAAAATATGGTCATCCAAATAAGATAACCTTATGACTCAAACCTCATGAGTT